CTTATCACCATCATCATTTGACTAAAAAGAAAAAGAAGAGGTACAAAGCAAAGTTATCAATACTGTACCGGCATACGTATCGATTTTGCTACTGAAACAGTATGTATCAGATATCAAAATTTTTCGTGTATCGTTTCGGATTTGTCGGTATATAAAATTTTTGTGAAAAAATTCAAGAAAAATAACAAGAAAAGGACTCAATCGAAAAAATTAAAAAGTTGAGGATGAAATCTATCAAAACAAATCCACAAATCCACCCCAATATTGAGCCCCTCAACAATTTTCATAGCCCAGCCCATCAAAACCCAAATTTAACGATAAAAGAAACCCTAGTTTCCCCTCTTTTAAAGTGTGAAAGAAACGGCAGACCAAAAAACAAACACAGAAAGCCTCTCGATTTTTCTCCCTTCTCCCTTTTGCAGATCTGCGATGGCTACCATCACCCTTGTTCCTTCACCTCCGACCTTCACCATCTCCCTTCTCCCTTCTGCAGATCTGCGACGGCCACCATCACCCCTGTTCCTTCACCTCCAACCTTCACCATCTCCCTTCTCCCTTCTGTAGATCTGCGACAGCCACCATCACCCCTGTTCCTTCACCTCTGACCTTCACCATCCTCTTGCTAGCTAATCGTCACGCTCATCTCACCAATCACCAAGAAGACGATATAGATCTAGCCAGAAGCCCCTTGGGACTCTGACCTTGACATCTTCTTGCGTCTCATCATCATCACTGCCTCTACCTTCATCACCGGTAAGGAGAGGGGTTCGGCAGCCACCAGAAAGGGAGGATCTCTCTTCTTCAAAAAAATCTGAAGGGGTTGTCACTTGAAGTGGTTGTCAACACTGCCGGTACGTCGGAATACCGAGCGGAATACCGCGATTTGACCGAAATGAGCGAAATTTGACCGAAACGAAATTAAGCTTCATACCGTTTCGGTGCAATGAAAAATCCGGTACATACGAAACGATATTAACTTCTTTGGTTTTAGGAGCTCAAATATAATCTATATAATTCATTATCTATTTTAACGATTTAACTATTTATTATTATTTAAAATCCACCCATCTCAAGGCCCACAATTGAATTTTGTAAAAAAAAAGAAAAAAAACAAGTTATTGTGTCTTCTATGCTATTTTTCTAGTATCTAGCCCTACTGTTCCAGTGCCAATTTCTTTCAACCCAACAACTTTAAATATAGAAAAAAAAAGTGAAAAAAGAGACTCCACCATCGGCTCGACGCAAGCAACTGCAACATTGCTCTTGTCAATGAAAGCTCGAAGACAAAAGAACCACCAAAGGAATCACTAACTTATTAGTAAAAACAAAAAACGACACTTTTTCTTTTTATATGAATAATATATTATAATTCAACTTTTAAGTTTTGTAAATTTATTTTATTTTATTTTAAAATTTCATCTTATACTTGTTAATAGATATATTCTAACAAAAAAAATAAGTATATTTTTTTTGTCTTAAAATAATTAATATTTTTTATTTAGAATTTATTCTAGAATAATAGTCATCATTTTTTTTATTTTAAGAAAGATAAATAGTTTTTTCTGCTTTAATCCTATAATTATTTTTTAACTTTAATTATTTATCTTCTGATTAAAGTAAATATTTATTCTTAATTATTTTTTAAATATAAAATAGGTAAAGATATAAATTGTTTTCAATTCGTTCATTTGAAGATAAAACAAAAAATTTATTATTCTAATATGGAAGGAGTAATATTTAAATAATGACAGCCCTTTTGATCATTTATTCGCATGTACCCACAGTAGCATTCAAGTAATGCCCTTTGATTTCACCTATTTCAGCTTGTGCTTTAAAAATTGCTTCGGCTATTGATTTTTTATTATCACAAAAAATTATATAATTTTCTTTTAGAATTTAGAATTGTTAAGATTATAAATAAACTTAAATATTATGATAATATTGAAGTTATATGGAATAGAAATGAATCGGAGTAAAAAAATTGAAAAAAAAATATGAACCCAATAGAAGAAAAAACCTTGGATATAGTCATATAGAGAAAAGCAATAGGAGGATAAATTAGTATAAAAAGAAGATAAACTAGTATAAAGTGTAATTAGCTTGTAAAGGAAAAAAAATGTGAAAACAATAGCAATTTTTACAATTGTGAAAACAAGAAAGAGCATTTTCTACGGCAAGTTAATTATTTTGGTACTTACTTTTTCAGTTTTTATAGCAATAACAAAAAGAGCATTTTTTGTTATGAAAACTGTGAAAATGAGACCTTACAGTAAAATAGAAGATAAATTTCTTTCAAACTCTTTTTGATTGTTTATATTGAAAAAGAAATAGTTTAATCATTTAGTATAAATTTTATTATAAATAGATTTTGTGACATGAAAACTAATCAAATATTAATTTAATTTATGATATTAAAATAAATCTTTAAAATTATAATGTATTATTTTAATACATGAAAAGCTACCCCCTTGGCTAAAATTCCTGGGTCCGCCACTGTTAAAGGACGAACTTCTTGGTGAAAAAGGATGTGAGGTACGTAGTCGAAAAATGCACAAATAAGCATAGGGAAAGCAGAACAAGTGAAAACGCTTAAATAATTAGTTAAATGTTAATTCTAGTTCTCTAATTTTAAGGTTGTATATAGTTTTTATTTTTTATTTTTTTATATTTTTTATTAGTCCTTTAATTATGAAAAATATATATTTTTAATCTTTTTAACAGTTAATTCGTTAAATTAATTTAAATATGCATGTTTTTAATCCTTCAACTTATAATATATGCATATTTTTTATTCTTTTATTTAAAAATTCAAGAACTAAAAATATACATATTTAAACAAATTTAATAGATTAAGTGATAAAAAAACTAAAAAAAATATATTTTTTATAATTAAGGGATAAAAAAAAATTAAGAGATAAAAATGATATAAGATCTTAAAATTAGGACTAAAATTGACATTTATCCTAAATAATTCAGGTAAAAACAAGGAAACAATTGTAAATAAATAAAGAGTATACAGTAGAACAGTTGCTACTGTTCTAAATGGCAAAATAGGATCTTTCGCATAAAAAACACTTCCTATATCACTAGCCCTCCCCCCATCTAACATCAGTGTTCAACAGTAATAGATTAGACTATAAAATATTTTTTATATATAAAAATTGATGTTCGAAACTGCTAGCTTCATTACCTAAACTGATTTTAAAAAAACAAAAACAAAAACGAAAACAAACTAGTATAAAAAAATAAGCAAAAGGCACCGAGACTAACCGTTGGAAGAATCAGAATCTCATGGGCGGTGGGAGGAGAAAGCTCTGTGTTTCCGTCGAGGGAGAGATTCGAACTGCAAGGGGAAATCGAATTCGGAGAAAGGGAACGGCGAGGGCTTGGAGGGACGGAACAGAAGGGGAACTGGGGAAGGGATGCGTAGAAGTTATGATGGGAGCCGTGCTCTTTGTTCTCTTTGAGTGGGAAGAAGACTAGTGGAATATGTTCTCTTTGAGTGGGAAGAAGATAAGTGGAATCAAGTAGAAATGTGTTTTTTGCTCTCTTTGAGTGGGAAGAAGATAAGTGGAATCTGTTCTCTTTGAGTGGAGAAAATAAGTGGAATCTGTTCTCTCTTTGAGTGGGAAGAAGATAAGTGGAACCAAGTAGAAATGCGCTCTTTGTTCTCTTTGAGTGGGAAGAAGCTAAGCGGAATCTAGTTAAAATGTAGGGGGTACATGTGGGTCCCATACATGAGAAATTCTACTGGTGTAGTATCCGTATCTCTATCCAATAAGAGGGTGACAGATAATTAAATTAGTATACCTCGTCATTCGACAAAAGCAACTCGCTGAATTGTACTTAACGATTAGGGTTTAGGGAACTCAAGGATCCCAGGAACTCTTGGACCACTTCTTCTGCCCATGTCCTAAAGATTTCTCTAACTTCATTGTAAATTTGAAATTCAAATTTAATCCCATTACTCTGCTTCAACTTCTTAAAAACATGTTTCAATATTTTCAAACCCATTTTCCTCCAGTTCCTCGCCCGGCCTTTTATCAAGTCCAAAGCTCTAACTTCTATCTGAGAAACTTCTTTGTCGCTCTAATTGCTTTCTCTGACAGAGGGATGCAAAACCGTAGGTGAAACAGCTTGCAGTTCCATCCCCAAGAAGTTAATTTTCTCTGAAACAGCACTATGGACAGCTGTTTTTAACCTATCAACCTTCAAATCCGAATTCACCTCCAAAAATTTCAAGATCTGGTTCTTCAAAGCCAATATTGACATCTTAGACCCTGAGATGGTGTTACCAATAACTCATCCAAGTACCTTACAGCATGTATCTTTTCCAGCTTACAAAAGACATTTGAGGCGGAAACAAGCTCACTCGAATCAACTTTGGGATTATTCTGATTCATTTTAAGGCGCATTTCTTGGATCTCTTTATCCAAACTACCAAAGCAAATATTAATCAAAATTGAACACTGCGGAAAACCTCTTCCTAAATAACACCCACCCCGTTCAATTCTCACTACACATTCAAACAACCTCTTGAGCCTGCCAATCAACATCATATCCTTAAATTTCTCAATAAACAGACACAATTTATCTATGTTACACTTCTGAAAGTTCTCACGGTTAAAAGAAACACTAAACCACCAACTTGGATTCTGTACAGAGTTTTTAAGGTACCTAATTGCAGTATGCCTTCCCATACCAACACGGCCACCGTAAGAAAATGTGACAAACCGTTCATCATAGACAATTTCCAATACCATCCTGATAGCTTCGATCAAAACCTTCAATTTCAAATTGGGCAGAACCAGAGGCTCACCTTTATCCCTTGATTGTGTCATTTTGACACAGCAAGACTCAATATCAAACTGATTTTCTCTAATTTCACCACTCATTTCAATTATGGAGAAGTGTTTGGAGAAGGAATCCAGAAAATGAGGAAGTGACTGAGCTGTCTCTGGCGTTGTGTTGCCAGGGCTGGTGAGGTTTTGGCAGGCAGTGAGGAGGACAGAGGGCAAAGCAATGACATTCTGGACAAGTTTGGAGAAGTTTCCATGGGAGTATTGGGAGGGAACCAGGGGCTTGAGCTGGGGTTTTGTTAAGGGCTCTGTGGGGTTTGCATAAGGGTTTAAGGGAAGGGTTGAGTATTGTTTAAATGCAGCTGCGGTGATGGAGATAGAATGCCCAAGATTCAGCATAGTGATTCTGTTCAGCTTCTGAAGCATTGATGGGTAGTGAAGAAATATGACGCAAAAGATGAAATAGATTGCTATAATCTGTTTGTTTCTGAGATCCACCTCTTTCTTCTTCTCACTTTTTCTTTTAACCTCACAGAAAGTATCTGTAAGACAACATACACATTTCTAATCTTGTTGGAAGAAAATTGAAAAATAAATAAATAAAAGCAAAAACTGCATCACAAAATTCTCACAAAAGAAGTATTGATTCTATTGACTATTGTCCCATTCACAATGTAAATTGATTAAACAGAGTGAAATTCAATAAGAACCTGATAATACCTGATGTACTTTGTGTAAAAACAAGACAATAACTTGTATAAAATGGAAAAAAATTAGTAAATTGATCATAACAAGGCTTGGCACAACGTGGATGTTCAACATGGAGCTAGAATGATTCCACTATCAATGTCAAAATACCAATAACTCAGAAATTCTGATCATCAGACATCACCATATTCATTTTATATATATATATATGTATATATATATATATATAAAACAAAGAAGAATTACAAGACTAATAAATTTTGATGGTGATCAAACCAAAATCTATTTCCATAAGAAGAGAATAAACCAACAAGAAGGATCACTTCCTCCATGTTAATTTTTAACATCTTTTAAAGCTCAGCTAACCAAGGGGCATTCTAACAGTTCAATTCAACGACACCATACATTAGCTAAACACACCCAGAACAGGAATTGTGAGATAACAATATTAGAGAAAAAAGGGGAAAACAAACGTAACATTCCTCTGCACCACCTTTTTTTCCCTGCACATAAAAGAAATACACAAAATTAGTAGAAGAGTAGCTCAAACAACGTGCAAGGATAAAGCATACAATAATTTAATTCTTAAGACATGCAATCTCAATTAGTCTCTATGGAAATACACATTAGAATGATTCCATATAGGTAACCAATTATTGGAAAATTTTATCAAAAAACTGTCACTCCTTTCCTCTTTCCCCTTTACCCTTTCATCCATTTATTGACTTACTTTTGTCCATCCAACCAACTGATAAATATTCACTTTCATAAGTCCATCTTCACCTTAACCTACTTTAAGGCATTAAATCTAAGCTGGATTTTTCATGTTTATATGGAAACATCAACCATATTTTTGAATTATAATCTAGCAATTTCTTGTGCATGGCTGTTTCTATTAAAGGAAAAATAAATAAATTCTTTCAGAGAGCAAGTACTCATCATATTTTGTGCAAAAGAGACTGATGACCAGTAAGCTTGACTTGAACATCCACGTCCAAAAACATTGCAAAACCCAAGACAGTTTCTTTCCTATCTGACTGAATGAAAAATCATCCATAATACCATAAACAATCTCTTGAGTATTAAATTTCGATTTCGCCATTTCAAGTTAACCAAAAATTGCATAGCAAGTTCTAATAGGAATTTTAACAAACATCTTATGGGCACTAAAGGAAACATCCAACAACCACTAATTAAAACACATTTCAACAATCAACAACTAGTATACCGCAGAAAAACCAAAAACGGCTCCCATAACACATAAAACATTTGAAAATTTTAAGCTAAGTTTGAGAAATTAACAGCGATTTTGGGTTCAGTAGCGTACCAGATTGGAGCCGAAAACCAGAAGCCGGCGCCGGAGGAAGAAGGGAAGGCCGGAAAAGGTGAAGAAGTTGGGCTGTACAATTGAGGGAAGTACAAATAAACCCACTGTTCTAGCCTTCGAGCTTCTAGGTACACAAATGAGCTCCAAAACCCATTCCTACAGCTAAAACCTTTTCACCCGTATTTAATTGGGCTTAAGCCCCAAAAATGCAACAAACTTAAAAACAAAAAGGCCGAAAAAAAGTATTGTTACTTAGGTGATATTCCATAAATATATAACCTGATTTCAATATGATCGCTATGGTTCTGCACCAAAAAAAATAAAAATAAATATATATAGGTGTACTTTATTTAATTATTAAAAATAATTAATAATTGTAATTGTTAATTTATATTAGATAAAATTGTTGATTTTTATTTTTTAATAGTTTAAAATTAATTTGTAAATTAATATTTTCAAACACTCTAAATAATTATGGATTAAGGCTTCGTTTATTATGATTGTGGTTTTTAATTTTTAGCTTTTAGTTTTGATATTTATAAATTTTAGAACTTTAAACAAAAATGTCATTTACTTTTGTATAGTTTTATAACATATTATCATAATTATATATTATAGAAATAAAAAAATAGTTTTAACCTTATTAAATGAGTTTATATTTTTTGTTGTCAGTGTTAAAATTTATTTTAAAAAAAACTTTTATTTTTTATTTTTATTTTTCAATAATTACAAAATTTATAAAAATTGAAACTAAAAATTCAAAATCACGATCATATGTACTAATTAAAATCCAAAAATTTAGTATGGTTTTACTTTTTGGTTTATGGTTTTTAGTTTTTAGTTTTTATATATTTAATAATTTAGTAATTAATACTACATTTTGATTGAATTAAATAAATTTTAATTTTTATAAAAAATTAATTTTTAAATACAATAATATTTACCAAATATACAAAATAAAATTAAAAACTTAAAATTATAACTATAACAAAACTATAAAATCAAGTAAATACACACATTTATAATATCTTGTCTAATTAACCTTAATAGTTGATTGTATGGCCATAGCCATGGCCTAATATGATATCGCGTTGTTAATTACATTAAACAGCATTTTTCATCCAGAAAAGAGATGCTTGAAAAAGAAGAATTCAAAAACTTGATCTGATTCCAACAAAATTTGATACTACCAAGAAATTCGTTTTACTAGTCCTACGATTTCCGCTGCTTCCACGCAGAGTCTCTGGCCAAAAAGATCAATCACAGCAACATTATCCATTCAACACTGCGCCAAAACGACTCTCTCCTTTTCCATCATTTTCTCCCCCCCCCTCCCCTCCCCCCAGCAATCCAGCTCTTCATTAAACCATTGCTCAAATGGGTGCCTTATCCATTGGGACCCAGTTTGCACAACTACATCGACTCAAAAACCCTCTCCTAAACCTTTCCCCTCACTGCGTTATTTGCCAAGTTTGGATCCCCTCTTGGTAGAATTAGAGTCCCAAGATTGGTTGGAGACGGAGTTCTTGCTAGAGCTGATAATAACGCAAAAGCCTCTCCTCCTACTCCTCCTGTCCAAGAACAATCTGAATCCAACAACGAAAAGCAGCTCCAGGTTCTTTATTTATAACTTTCTTTTTTTGTTTATGATACAAATTTGAAGTGCCCATTTGTTTCTTTTTGTCAATTTATGTTTCTGACGATGTCTTTGTCTTAAAGTTTGTTTCTTTTCAATCATCTTGTTTGAATCAGGGATCTTGAATCTGGCAGCGTCTTCAAGTAGTTGAGCAATGTCCTCCAAACACTCCTCTACCTTCCTGCTAACTTGGTAACGGGCCTTGGGATTAGGACACACCCTGACTTCGCATTGTCAGTGTCATTCTCGAACTTCCCCATTTCTCCAATGAACATGTCTGAGCTAGTCAGCCAATTTTTTACCCTTAGTGTGACCTCTTTCCCACATCTGTCAGCATCATCCTTAAATTGCAGCAGCATTTCCTTTTCAGCCTCCAGCTTCCGAACATTTTTCTTCAAATTCTTAACATTAGCCTCCAACTTGAAGATACGTGTGACTCGGCTCTAAATGGGATTTAAAATTAGATCAAAAAGGTCCCTGTAACCCTGCCAGCAGCAGTGGCAGCAACAGTAGCAACCTCCACCATCTTCTAGTTGTGTTTATCTTTTTCTTTTTTCCTTTTTAAAATTCTGCGAATTATATGAAAAACAAAGCAGATAATGGAATTACAGATACAAGAAAAGAGCAGCTACTAAATGAATCAAATGTCAAGAGTAGAAGTGAGAAAGTGAAGTTAATTTAGTTACTTAGAGACAATAACAGTGGATGAAAGGATTTTTTTCCCCTTTTTTTATTTTTTTTTGTGAAAAGGGACGAAAGATGAGGAGTAGAAAGAAGCAGAAAATCTAGAGGCAATAAACAGAAGAACTTGGAGAAGCAAAATAAATGAAATGATCAAGAAAGTAGAATTTGAAAGATTATCAACCAGAAAGGCTAGTTTGAGAGAACTAACAGGTGGCAGAATCAGATGGCGAAGATGAGAAGGTAGAAGCCTGCAGAAATGGAAATTAGACTGTTATCCTTATCTCCACATAAGAATAACGAAAATTGGAAAGTGATAGAGAGCTATCATAACAGCAGTTTTTCTGTGTGTCCATATATTTTTCAGAAAAAAGCAAATGAGCAGAAGCACCATGAATTTAAAAAGAAAATGAAACACAAAGTCAAAAACTGCGCATAGAAGTCACATTAAAAAAAAAAATGGAGCATGAAAGTCAAACCCTGCACAAAGAGTGCGGATCTTGCCAGCCCATAGCAGTACAATCGATTTGATTAATTATTCAATCAACGTTGGCTGGCATAATTGTATTCCCTTCCATTCCACATGCTTCTTTGCTCTTTCTTGAACTTAACTCTGTAATCCTAAGGTAATATTTGGATAGATGTAGTGGTTATTTTTTAGTTAAATTATAAAATGTTAAGCCAAAAATAAGTTTAATTTGAGAAATATTTTTGGAAAGCTGGAATAGTTAAGTTATTGATAAATTTCCACTGAGAGATGAATAAAAAACATATATTTTTTATTTTTTTTTAAAATATGTATTTCTTTATTATTTGATAATGTAAAAAGAAGTTTAGATATTGTGGTTCAGTTTAATTATATTTTGCACACTTCTTTTTGCACATCACTTTATATAAAAATATAATTTCATTATTATTAATTAAATTTTTATATATTTTAAATCATTTTAATTATTATTTTATATATTTTCAGATAAAAAAGGATTTTAAAAAAACCTATAGCTACGTAACAATGCAGTATAGCAAACAAACCCAAAGTATAGTTATTCTTATATTCTTATGTATATTTATAGTTTAATAATGAAATCGTCACTACAAGTCCACCAGCAAACAAAAAATAATTTATTAATAATTTATTTTATATATTTTTAATAATTGTAATTAATATTTTATATATTTTTAAATAAAAATAAATACAAAAAACACCTATAACTATATAACAATGCA